GCAGGTTTCTGGGGTTTTGTTTAGCTTCTATATTTGCAACATAGTTGCTTAGAGTTGCAGCTGAGAGGCCGGCAAGTTACGCGGGGAACGTTGGAGTCCGCTGTCACTGGAGCAAGCAAGCCTCCCTGTTAGCTTCAGTGCATGGCTGCCGGCCGCCATCTTGGCTGGCAGTTAATTTGCATATCGCCCTGATTAGCCAATGGGAAGGGTAACGGATGTACGGCTAATTACCATGTTTCTCTTTTATTAGATAGGATAACTACTCCCTGCAGAACAGCCTGGAAATTTGACATTGACATAATACTTTAAGTTACAATTCATATTGCAGTTTTGTCAGTTTTCCAATGTCTTTTATAGCAATTTCAGGAACAGGATCCAATCAGGATCATATATGGTATTTAGCCATGTCTCTTTGTTCTTTATTAGGACAGTTTCCTTAGTCTTTCCTTGTCTTTCACAATATTGACATCTTTGAAGATTATGAGCAGTTGTTTCATGGGACCTCCCTTCACTCGGGAGTTTCCTTATGCTTAGGATTCAGGTTATACAATTTTGTGTGATGAGTTCTTTTCCAGTATTATATCCAGAAGCACATTATGTCCTTTTTTCTCTTAATGGTGATGTTAATTGATCATGTGATTAAGGGTTTGTTCATTTTCTTTTCTGTGTAGTTACTATTCTTCCCTTTGTAAATAAAAAATAATTTGTGGAGTGATATTTTGAGACTCTCCTGTTTCTCATAAAACTCACTCTATACATAGGATCTAATTTTGGTTCTTGAATCAACATTTACTGCTGTGCTTGAAAATCTCTCATTGCCATTAAAAACCATTTAAGGAATACTCAGATTATTTTGTAATAACTTTACAAGGAAGGTACTATTATTACCCCCATTTTACAGATAAGGAAAGTGAGGTATAACAAGGTTATCTGCCCAAGGTCATCCAACAAGTAAGTATAGGTAGGGTTTGAACACGGTTGTCTGACTGCAGAGCATGTGCTGTTATCTTCTACACAAAGCTGCCCGTTGATCTTTTACTGTGTGACTTCTGTCTTTGCCTGTAAGTTTAATAAGACCTTCTCTTCCTGAGATAAAATAGTCACTAATATTTTCTTCCTGTACTTTGGATGGTCTCACTTCTGTACATGTTTACCTTGAGAAGTTCAGTTGGCAGCTGGAAATTCAGCTTTAGAACCTGAGAGGGAGGTCACAGGTCAAGATTAGGTTAAGGAGTCATCACCCCTGGTCTTTTTGGAGTAAGTTTGGATTGTTGGGTGACCAGTGTTTGGTGATATGTCCGTGTTCTCTGCTGACAGGTCGGTCCTGGAGCCACTTGTGGAGCGCAGGGCCTCGTCAGGTGCCCGAGTGGAAGATGTGCCCCTCAAAGAGGACAATGAGAACCGGATCAGCAAGTCCAAGAGAAAAGAATGGAGCCTGAGCAAGTCCCAGGTCATTGCAGAGAAAGCGCCAGAGCCTGATCTGATGGTAAGAAAAGGGGTGGGGGGACGCGACAGAGCATTCCCTGTAGCCAGGGACATTGCCATTCACCTCACAGCTCCGAGTCAGCAGACAGAAGCCTAGCCATGGCTCTCCCAGGACCCGCAGCCTGTGGCAGGGCCAGTTCTCAGCCTGTGCTAAGAAAAGCCTGTTCAGAGAATCTGAGTCTCTAAGTCAACAATGGCGTAAGATCTTGGGCCACAGTGTAAACATGTGGTTCTCGCCACCATGTTCTATGAGTCAGTCTAAACATTGTCATTTCTCTTCTTTTAACTTAAAAAAAAATAAAAGGTACTTTTCCTTCCGTAAAGCCACATCAAGTGTGGCCAGACCAGCTTTCCCTGAGAATCAGGGTGGCTCCCTTCCAGCCTAAACGACACAATCCAACTGTGGTCAAAACCAAGTCCACAGCCGGCCAGGAAACACTCTGTGGTTCGGGAATGGCTGTTAGTGTCTTTGTCAGGGTGGCCACCTCATGGGAATGTGCTAAGCTTAAAATGGCTCCTGGGATTACGCCTTTAACACGTTTCTGCTCAGCAGACAAGGTTGTTCAGCATTGATGAGTTCAGCCGTCCTCACCGTGAGTACGTTTTCCTGTTTCCCCCACCCCCACGCTAGAGTCCATCCAGAAAAGCACAAAGGCCAAAGAGTCTCCAGCTGTTGGACAATCGGCTGACACCGTTTCATGGTTCTTCACCTCCTCCGTCAACACCCTTGAGCCCGCCTCCCCTCACTCCTAAAGCTACGAGGACCCTAAGTAAGTTTGTTGTTGGTTTTTTAAAATATTTTTTTTATTGATTTCAGAGAGGAAGGGAGAGGGAGAAAGAGAGAAAAAAATCAATGATGAGAGAGAATCATTGATTGGCTGCCTCCTGCATGCCCCCTACTGGGGATCGAGCCTGCAACCCGGGCATGTGCCTCTGACCTGAATCGAACCTGGGACCCTTCAGTCCACAGGCTGATGCTCTATCCACTGAGCCAAACCAGCTAGGGCAGTAGGTTTTCCTGTCTATGAATCCTTTATATTCATTTTACTAAGAATGGAGTATATTTATGAATCTGAGCAATTTTTTACCAAAACAGCCACAAGGTATATGTAAAGCTGGTCCAGTTCAGTGGTCATGGGTATAATGCAGTTAGACTAGTCCTTGTCAAGCCAAGGAGCCCTCGGGTTACTAGGACTCATTAACCTTTTCTTTAGTGCTCCAAGGGGCGTCACTCCCTTTTCCAATTATGAAAGTCTAAATGAGGTCGATCCAGGCAGGACCAGAGAGGATGCAAGTTCCTTATGACCTACTGACTAGATAGCCCTGTACCTTATCTAGGGAAGGGTCCAAAGTGAGGGCAAGAAATAGGCCCATAAGCTCCTCGCGGCCACACGGCCTGAGGAGAATTCCAAGGCACCCTTGGTAAGGGGAGCACTGCAGGGTAAGTCGCTGCACCAAACGGGAGACAGTGGTCAACCAAGAGCTAGAGAGAAGCAGGTGAGATTTCCTGGAGGAAGTGGGTATCGTACCCTTTAAAGGATAAAACAGACAGTTCAGTTAAATTTAACTCGTATTTATAGGCCACCGACTATGTGACTTTTTAAGCACTTGGGGAACGTCAGAACAGAGTAATACCCTAAGTCCTAGGAAATGTTTTCTTCATCAGTTTAATGGTAAAAACCCTGAACGAAAAGTGGAATTTTTATAGCAGAGCTTCTTGTGAAGCCTTCCGGGGAATGAAGGGCACTGCCTTTGTCACTAGGGGTGAGCAGGTCTTCATTCCGTCCGTAGTAAGCATGGACTATGAGCTTAGCAATTTGGCTGGTTGGTTCAGGTGTTACCATGGCAACCAGAAGTTCCATGAGATTCCTTATGAATTCTTTCTGTCTTCATCTCCTTTGTATCCTTTCTAGGCTCCCCATCTTTGCAGACAGATGCGCTGGTGACTGCTACTTTGCCTCCTCCCCCTCCCCCCAAAAGCAGCCAGAGGAACTCCTCGGAGGTATGGGCACTGGGGCCAGAGAGCACCCTCGTGGGAACGCAGCCTTGGCCTTTCCAGGCTTTTTAGTGGACAGGTTTCCCATAGGACTTGTCACTGCTCAATTCTTGGTTCTTCCTGAAACCATAAAAGCTAGGGCAGCTTTCAGCGGGAAGGAGCGGGCGCAGGGAGGCCTTCTCATCTGATGGAAGCGTGAGCGTTTCCGTTCCCCACCCAGGGTGGAGCGGGGAAACAGGCAGCGTTCCGGTTTATACTTAGGAGTTTACTTCTGAGTGGGTGGCCGTCATTCCGGAATGGCCTCTGGTAGGTTGCCTTCATTCCTTTAACAAATGTTATTGAGCGCCCAGTACCCACGTGTTGGGGATAGATCAGTGCTGGGGTATAACAGACTCAAGGCAAACAAGGGAGGATACTCAGCCTCACTTCCCTTTCCACTTGGCAAAGGTTAGCTAGAAGCTGAAGCAGAGCTTGAAGTGTGGAGAAGGCAGGCTTGGGAAGAAAGAGGACTCATGTCTCCTTTCCCTTGCTCCCTCAGGTTGCTCCCCCACTGCCCATGCGAAGAGAAGCCAAAGTCCCACCCCCACCACCTCCCAAAGCTCGGAAATCCGGCGTCCTTTCTTCTGAGCCTGGACCCCAGTGAAGACCGTGTCCTCTGAAACACAGAGCGCCTTGGACAGCTGAGGCCGTGTCCTCCCGGAGCCGGGCCCCTGCTGACTGCCTTTCCTGTTCTGGGAGGAGGCTCACCAGCTCATAACGTTTAGTTCTTTCCTACCTTCTGTCCGATCGTGCCTGAGGCCATGCGACAGTTTTAATCCACGTGGAATTCCACAATTGACCTGTCCTGTGCATTTCTCAAGAGAGCGAGCTCCCTCCCCATCATTAAATTTCAGCCTCAGCGCAGAGCCAGCGGGACCTGCTAAAGCCTGGAAAAGTCCTGTGGTGGCTGGAGCGACCCCAGGAACCCACTCCTTGGACGCATTTCTTGCTCTGCTGCTGCTGAACAGTTGTGCTTGTGGCGTAGTTTTCTCACGTGGACGTCTGCCACCCCATATAACCTATTGGGAGAGACTGATATCAAGTACTTTGAAATAATTATAACTTTCTATGTCTACTATGTCTTTTTTGAGGAAAAGAACATCTTTTTTAATGAAGACTGGATCCTCTCAAGTATGAATGGCTGTCATTATTGACAAACCATGGACTCTCGTGAGCCCCAAGCTCCTGTCTCCCTCACCCGCGCCCACTTGTGTAACAGGGAAGCTGTCCGCGGCCCTCGGGGGTCCTCCCCACTCCCCACTGGTGGCCCTCACTGCACAGCAGTGGTGCCTTCCTACTGTGACTCCTTCAAAATTCTTTCTTTTGCACAAACAGTTTCTTGTCCTGTTAGCTCTTCTGAGCTCAAATCACTGGATATAAGGGACTTAGAAGCCCGGGTTCAACAGTTTCTCTTCCAGCCCCCGTTTGGATGGCTCGGCAGCCCCTCTCTGCAGCCTGATTTTACCCTGGAGAATACAGTGCAATACCGCCTTTTGATTATTTATTCCTCTTGATTGTGGATTTAATTTGATTATGTGTTTATGGTACTAATGTGATTTAGGTGATCAAATATCGCCTACACACACATCAACAGCCACACAAAATTAAAGATGTTTTGAGATAGAAGGGCCTTAAAAGTCATTCAAACAACCCCCTTATTTTGTAGATAAGGAAATTGAGGTTAAACACAGATAATCCTACTAGAGACTCTTACTAATAACCCAGCTTGCTAATTGAGGCCATACCCAGATAACACTTATATGTAGAAGATAATGCTGACAAACTCTTTAACGCATACCCTTAGCTAGATCAACAACGGAAATGGCCCAGGTATTTCTATCCTACTTTGGTGTTTGTGGCCAACTAGACAACCTATTGACTATGGATCCCCTAGGTCAACATGTGGGGGATTCAACAGGGCCTCTCCTATACGTGGCAGAGTCCCCTTTCTTCAAGGCAGAGAGAATTTCCCCTCCGAGGATTTGGGTTTGTTTGCCTGGGTCGGTGTTTGTGTGCTTGTCTGGCCACCCCTCTTTTAGGAGAGAGAGACTCATTCACCACAGGGTCAGGGGAATAGACCTCTCAGATATATCCTGCGTTCCTCAAGAAATGAGGATGCATATTTTATTTTTTTAAATACATTTTTGTTGATTTCAGAGAGGAAGGGAGAGGGGGAGAGAGAAACATCAATGATGACAGAGAATCATTGATTGGCTGCCTCCGGCATGCCCCCGACTGGGGATCGAGCCCGCAACCCAGGCATGTGCCTGACCGGGAATCGAACCGTGACCTCCCTGGTTCATAGGTCGATGCTCAACCACTGAGCCGCTGTGGCCGGGCATGACTATGCATATTTAAAATGGTGGGGAAAGGGCTGGTCTTCTTCACCCACGAGAACCTACAACGTGGTGTAATGGAAAGAGCCTGGGCTTTGGAAGTAAACCCATTTGGTTTCAAATCATCAAACTCCCTCAAATTATTTGAAATTTTCTGAGCTTCCATTTCCTCACCTCTCAAAATGGGAATAATACTTGCCACACAGGATGCTGGGAGGTTCCAATGAGATCAAACATGTGAAGTAGTAGGCACTCACCTAATGGTCCTTTCTTTTCTCTGCTCGGCCAGAATAAGGTCTGGGCCTCTCTCGGAGTATTATTGATATTCTGTATTTTTTTAAGATCATTTGGAATGTGAGTGCCGGTTACTTCTGCACATACAGTCCCTCTCATCTTGTGGAGCCTTTTACATAATTACTTATGACTGGAGATACAGTGATAAGAACCGAAGGGGATTTTATTAGTAAGTGGAAAGAACTCAAGAAAACGAAGGAAACTGAGAAAGAGAAGGAACAGAAAGGCCATGCAGGGCTTGGGCAGAGCCTGGAGCCACTTCTGAGAAACTGCCCCGCACACTGGCTGGAGGGGACCCGTATGCCTCACCCCCTTTTCGTGCTGCCATTAAGATAGAACGATGTAAACTGGGGACAGAAGGAAAAACTCAAGCGTGTTCCTGCAGCGTGGGAGCGAGTCCTGGTGCACACATGCCAGATACCTTCTCTTTCTTCTTATAACATTTCCCATGTGGTTCCTTCCCCACATTAAAGGGAACATAGGGTCTCTCCTGCTGAACCGAAGGGATTCTAGGTAATGTCCTGAATAATAGGTTACAGGACATTGGAAGGTTCATCTCCTTGGGAAGCCATTGGATTGGGTAGGGAAGAGTGATATTTGAAAAAAGGTCATGAATAAGGTGTGTGCTGAAGTCACAGAGGAAGGCTGCAAAAAATGCCTTGATTCTGTTAAATATAGGAGAGATGAGGGCAAGGATAAAAAGAAAAAGAACTGCCCTAACTGGTTTGGCTCAGTGGATAGAGTGTCGGCCTGCGGACTGAAGGGTCCCAGGTTCGATTCCAGTCAAGGGCATGTACCTTGGTTGCAGGCACATACCAGTAGGGAATGTGCAGGAGGCAGCTGATCGGTGTTTCTCTCTCATCGATGTTTCTAACTCTCTATCCCTCTCCCTTCTTCTCTGTAAAAAATCAATAAAATATATTTAAAAAAAAAAAAAGAACTTACGTTCCCTGAGAAGAACTCTGGAGTATTGAAAAACATTGAAATTAGCCCCAAATTGTCACAACCCTAGTGAATATTGGTTTATGAGATATTTTTAATCTCCTTTCCCTGTCCTGGTGACTTTTCTTGCTTTGATTTTTTTTTCAAGAATTGTTTCATTCAACATATATTAGGCTTCTGTTCAATGGCAGGCACTGTACTAGACCCCCAGGAAGTGGCAGTTCAATGTCTTCAGTGGGAGCAGCCCCAGGATACAAAAATTGTTGTGTTGTGGGATGGGAAGTGAGTGGTATTAAAGGAAAGTGAACCCGAAATAAATAAGGCTCCTGGGCCATGCTGCCCTCCCCTCCACCTTCACACCTGACTCCAGAATTGCAGTAATTTTCTCCTGTCAGGGACACCCTTCAAAACTTGCGGTCACACTGCAAATCCCTAAGGAAAAACAAGAACTAAAGCAGGATTTCAGATCATCTACCTTTGTTAGCTTTCCGAGCTGCAAGAATCCTTCCCCTCTAGCTACTCCAGATCATGGGGCCATTCCTTATTTTAAAATCGAGGCATAACTTTTATACAGTTAAGTGCTCAAATCCTAGTGTACAGATGGATGACATTTAACTGGTATACACTCATGTCACCACCTCTTGGATCCAGACGTAATCGACTTCAAATTTGTTCCTTCTTTCCTCTCATTCTTAGGTGTAATGAAAAGAAAAGAAAAACTCCACCATCAACACAAAACAATAGCGTACTTTTGGGCAAGTCAATATGTAGTCCAGTCATATTGGGCCTCAGTTTCCTCATGTAAAAAATATATATACATACTGAGGTTGCATAATTTTTAGAATCCTTTCAACCCTAGCTTTCTTTTATTCTAAGTAAATGAAGGTGAGTTTGAAAGAAACGAAGTTTCTGTAGGCTTTTAAGTCTCTACACCATGACCAAGTAGGATTTTAAAATTAAGTTGGAAAAGGTAAGTTCCTCTTTGGGTGGGTTGAGAGTGGAACGCCACTTCTAATCTACAAAAGGAAAAAGTTTTCCTTCCATGTTGATGATTTCAGGCTGATTCTTAATAATCCAGCCAAAGTTGTTCTCCGATAGTCCTGCCCAAACTCATCCATTAGCCATGTTTTGAGTTGTTCATTTCAACTTTGTCAAAAGCCCTGTTGCCATGATTTTTGTAAACTACTTGGGATTCAAACATGGACAGTTAGGAAAATGTGCACTGAAGTAGAAAAATTGTGTTCAGATTTGCTGTTATTTATTTTTTAAATTAAAAATGGAAGTGCATTTTAAAGTTCATTGTGTGTTCAGTTTATTATCTATATATATAAAAGCCAAGCGACCGGAATGGCAAATGACCAGTAGCTATGACACACATGGGGGCCCCGATTGGCCCCCCACCCTGATTGGGGGTGGGGCCGGCAGGCCAACCTCCCACGTCCTCCTCCCTGCTGGCCTGGGCCTGATCGGCCCCCATTAGACAGGCTGGCGAGACCCCGCCCGTGCACGAATTCATGCACTGGGCCTCTAGTATGTTAATGAAATGAAATAATTTCTGAACTCCTTTTTATTGAAGCCTCCTTTATGACACATCCCACCCTTCTGGCCTCCTTCAGTGCAGGTCTATTAAACTTGTACTGGGGGGATGACTATCTTTGCCTCAAAGCAATAAAACTGCAAATTTTTGGTTCTTTCCCTGCCCCTACCTCTCCATCCATCCCTTTGGCATCTGAGCTGACTAGTTCATTCAATACAATACGTTCTATTTCTTTACTCACTCACCACAGGTAATTAGGCAGAGGTAAAAGGGAAAAAAAGAGGTTAAAAGGAGTGTCTAATAACTTAGATGGAAAGGATGGGAACCAATTCTCAAACTAGATTGGACAATAGTATCCCTTGGGAAGAGGTGATATATCCAGATGAGTGAAATCAGATTTTCTGGGGGCAAGGAGTGGGACCTGGACATTCACTATTTCTTTTAAATCTCCCCATGTTATTCCAATATTAGGGCAAGGTTGAGAACCACTACCTTGTAGGAAATGACAGCTTTAGGAAATTGGTGTTCAAGGTGTGCTTCTTAAATGCCCTGGTTTAAGTCCTGGCTTTATGCATAAGAATTTTTTAATGTTTCAGCTCTTTCAAACATTTGCAATCTATTGCTTCTTAGAGCAAAAATGCTCCACTGTCTGTGTACATAAGACTCATCAGATGCTTGTTAAAAATTCAGATTTGAATCAATAGATCTGGGAAATCACTTGGGGTTTAGGTCCACATTGAACAATACTACTTTTAGCCCAGCTGATATGGCTCAGTGGTTGAGCATTGACCCATGAACCAGATCACTTGGATTCCCAGTCTGGGCACATGCCCAGGTTGTGGATTCCATCCCCAGTAGGGGGTGTGTGGGAGGCAGCTGATTAATGTTGATGTTTCTCATTGATGTTTCTATCCCTCTCCCTTCCTCTCTCTCTCTCTCTGAAATCAATAAAAACACACACACACACATGAATTTATGCATGGGTAGGGTCCAGCTGGTCCACCCTGATCAGAGCAGCTGGGGGGAAGGGCTGCAGGTAGTTGGCGGGCCGGCCCCATCCACTGGTTGAACTCCTGGTCGAATTACCAGTCGAGGGGACAATTTGCATATTAGCCTTTTATTATATAGTCCTAGAGGCCCAGTGCATGAATTCATGCACCAGTGGGATCCCTCAAGCTGGCCTGCAGGATTGAGCCAAAACCAGCTCTCCGACATCCCCCGAGGGGTCCCGGATTGTGAGAGGGCACAGGCCAGGCTGAGGGACCCCACCAGTGCATTATCGGGGCCAGGGAGGGACATTGGAGATTGGCCAGCCACAGAGGGACCACGGGAGGGATCCAGGGTGTGTCCGGCCCATCTCACTCAGACCCAATTGGCCAGACCCCAGCAGCAAGATCACCTACTGGTCAGAGCATCTTCCGCCTGGTGATTAGTGCAAGTCATAGCGACTGGTCGACCAGTCGACTGTCTGCCCCCTGGTGGTCAGTGCATGTCATAGTGAGCAGTTGAGTGACCTTAGCATATCATTATCATATTACACTTTGATTGGTTCAACAGCCGACCGGACAACCGGACACTTAATATATTAGGCTTTTATTATATAGGATTTAAAAAAAAAAAAGACTTGATTTGGGAAAAAAAAGAAAAGAAGAGAAAAATACTTCTTTTAGAGCACCTTGCCCTGTCAAAATTTGTAAGCGCGGCTATTCATACAATAATTCTTGCCTTTTTCCCCAATCATCTCTAGAATATTACAACTTCTGTTAAAATGATCTCTTTTCAATCTCTTCTTTCTGTTCCTTTCTCACTTAAAGCCATATATATTTGAGAACTTGCCTAATTAAATCTATCATGTTTTATGTTTCCCCAACTTCTATTTTGAAACGATGCAGCCTTTTTTCAAACTACACTGATAAGTTAGAGAGTTCTTCAGATTTAGGAAAATGCTTAAAATTTTAATAAAGGGGTCATTTTTACTTTCCTTCCCCTCAGTCACTTAGGCATTTGAGAATTAAATTATCCAATATGTTCATGTTGCAAACTACTGGATGCCATCCCAAGCCTCTAACATCAGCATCAGGCATACATCCCATTCAGGGAGGCCCACAGCTGGCTCCAAAGAAATTGTCCCAAAGACAGGCTTTGGCAAAGGAAACCTGAGACTCCAAACAGGATGTATAAAATATGTTGCCTTTTAAAAACTTTTTAAAATATATTTTTATTGATTTCAGAGAAGAAGGGGGAGGGAGAGAGAGATAGAAACAATGATGAGAGAATCATTGATTGGCTGCCTCCTGCATGCACCCTACTGGGGGTGATGTGTCATAAAGTAGAGTATAGACCACATGACTGCCTAATTTTATTAAAGTGGGAGTGGAGAAGTCTTTGATTCAGTTTTAGAGATTCTGCAAATGGTGATATTTGGAAAATCTAGCACTGTACAGTAATGAATATTTATACTAAAAAGGGGAGGTTTTCTCCCCCATAGAATGTTTCTGACCCATATTTAAATTCCTTAATATAGGTCTTTCTTGCCCTTTTCAGAGGTATAGGGCCCGGGAGGGGAGGAGGAAGGCTTCATCTCTTTGATTAAAAGAGGAAAAAAAGGCCTAGGTCTTTGCCATGTGAATACAGGCACAGTTTGTTGCTGTCACACCAAACAAGTAATCTGAAATTTGAGTTTTCCAAATGGTCTCTGAGTCTCTTGGAGTTATAGGGATAAATGAGAATGTTAGTGTTACAGTGTCTGGGACCTCATGGAGAAATGGTCACCAGTAAAACTAAGTTGACACGGGAGCCTCAGTATCCTTTCTCAGCTCCAATTAACAAAATAACTGAGCTCCCAGGTCCAAGTCCATTGGCTGCTCATAATGGTGCAATACAGAATCACTGACCACGGGACCCGACACAGTGAAGTGGGTCTGTCTCAAACTATTGGAACCCCAGTTTCTTCATTGCAAAGGGAAGACTATAATACCTACTTTCCCTGGTCATTATGAGGGGTAATGAAAATATGCATGTATCTAGCACAAAACCTGGCTCTCTTTGTAGAGAATGAATGGTGGCAAATGCTATTTGACCAAGGGAACACCTGTCTTCAACTGACTCTACACTCCATAGTGCAGAGGAAAGTAACATAAACATCAGGCAGGTGAACACTATTACTTTTAGGTCTTGGTCCCAAAACTTGAGTGCACCACTTGCTCTGGTGAACCTGGAGAGACCACATGGGGCAGAAGAAGCAACGGACTAGGAGCCCAGCGAGGCCTCTCTAGGCCTCTCTCAGGTTCTAATTGACTGTGAAAGGAATTACATTCTGACCCCATCTAACTTCTGTAGGGTATGGTCAAAATAAAACTACAATTCCATAGGACACTGTAGCTGAATCAGCTTTTTGGCCCAGACCAACATGGGGCTGTTGCCCTGTGGGTACAGGGGGGCGAAGGAGGAGAGCCTGCGATTCCTGGCCAACAGTAGTGTAGTAGTGTTGACTTTGTGTTCTCTCTCCTCTCCTCTGCTTCGGTAGACACATCTGGAGGAGTCCCCTTTGTGGCTTACAATAGCCCTCCCCCACCAGAGGTTTGAGTTAGAGAAAGACTTCGTTAACATTTATGCCACTTTATTTACACTACTTCATTATGAAATACATGCACCTTGGCATAAGAATTTCTGAAATTCACACAATTTACAGATATTAAATGGGTCACAGATTTCAAAGTTAGAATTATACTTGTGTTGTCATTCCTTTTGGACCAGTGGATTTAAATCTTCTTCTGCCCAGTTTCCTCTTCAATCAGACTTTCCTGAAAAATATGTGAGTAACAAATAGCTCAGGGTTGATTTTATTGGCTAAATTTCATTATGTATGTTTTGATACATTATTTCTAAATCATTGAAATAGAAATAAAAGATTCATTTGTTTTGTGCACTAGAAAATGCTAAAGAGATATACAATCATGTTTTTTAAAGTTATTTATAATAAAATCTACATCGATAATTTAAGGATAGGACGTGAGGAAGACGGCGAAAGAAGGGTCTGGACTATCAGTTTGCTATTAACCAAGCCTTTGCTTCAATTCCTTCTAATGTCATGTTTGGGAAATTTTAGTGCTTGCTATAGTATTTTATCATGCAGTAAGCAGGATTAGAAAGAGGAAGGAAATAAAGATGCCTGCCTGCGTTTTTCATTTTCCTATGGGTGTGGAAGTTCAAGTCAATGGAGAAAACCAAAACTATAGCTTAACTTCACATATGATCTATTCAGGCTTTCCCTGCTCCTGGCACAACATCATTACCTGCCATGCCTCCTAACTATACAAACAGGTGGACATGGGGCTCAGAAAACACCCACACAGACCTCAAGATTCCATTTCTATATTCAATTCTCTTTGTACTTTTAAAAAAAATCAAGTCTACATTGGGTTACTATATTTCCATTTTTTAAAGTCCTTGCCCAAGTATATGCTTAGTGTTTTTAGAGAGATAGGAAGAGAAAGGGGTGGGGGAGAGAGAGGGGGAGAGAGAGAGAGAAACATCCATGTGAGAGAGAACATAGATTGATTGCCCTCCAGACATGCCCCAACCAGGGATGGAACCCACAACCCAGGTATGTGCCCTGAGTAGGAATTGAACCGGCAACCTCCTGGTACATCGAATGACGTTCAACCAGCTGAGCCACACCGTCTGGGCTAGGGCGCCACTTTTGATTTCTGCATTTCCCAGGGACCACAATGCCATACCAGGACAAATGAAAAATTGGTGAGAGGGATGGTTACCTAGAGAAGAGTCTGGGGTGTATATTTGAAGAATATATGGACACACTGAAGGAATGACATGGAGCAGTGGGAAGAGATTTGTTTTGTCCATCATCCTAAAGGCTAAAGCCAACATTAGCAGATAAGGGTTACAGGGTGATTTCAATTCCATTTATGAAAGAAAACAAAAAGAAAGGTTCCAGCCATTGTACTCTAACCACCAAGAGGGGTTGTCGTGAGATAGTGAGGACCCTACCACAGGAGGAACTCAGGCAGTCAGGAAGGGAAGTCACGAAGTGGCTGAAACATGGTTGCCCTAAGTGGACTCCTGACAAGGTGGTACCCAGGGGCCGGTCCATTTCTAAAGCCCATGTTAATATACATATATAAAAAATATATCTTTATTGATTTCACAGAGGAAGGGAGAGAGAGATAGAAACATCAATGATGAGAGAGAATCATTAATCGGCTGCCTCCTGCATGCCCCCACTGGGGACAGAGCCCGCAACCTGGCCATGTGTCCTTGACTGGAATCGAACTGGGGACACTTCAGTCCGCAGGCTGAAGCTCTATCCACTGAGCCAAACCAGGACCCAGGGTTTAATTAGTATTGTAGTAGGTCAGCGCTCCTTTCAGCTCCCTGAGGGCAGGGTTTAATTAGTATTGTAGTAGGTCACAGATATCAAGGGCAAAGGTCAGATTTGTTTAATTTTCTATAGCATGTATAGGTGTATCTGTGACACCTCTGCCTACACAGGTAGGGCGTTATTTTCACTGTCACTCACCAGCGCTCCTTTCAGCTCCCTGAGGGCAGAAGGTGGCTGGTGAAGGGTGCATTCGAAGTGTTGAGGTTCTGCTAGCTGATCAACCTCTTCGGCTCTCTGAAGTAAAAGAATGTGATTCTTGGAGATGGAGATAGAGACATGAAACAGGATTTCCCGTTTCCACTGAAAATCATCTGTGGAAAATGGGGTCAAGGTGGATGGGGGACTGAGAAGGGTGCGGGATTGGGATGGGGGCTTGAGGAGCACACGTCTGCCAAGCGGTGGAGGTGCTGGGGAGGCAGCAGAGATTTCCTCTCTGGAGATGCTGAGGATGAGGCACTTCTAACTCAGGAGAAGACAGTATCCAAAATATGCCAGAGTTATAGTTATGAATAGGGTTGATTTTTATATTCTAATTTTTAGTAAGTGTGTCATAGTTAAATGAGAGTTGCTTCACATACAATCTTGTGTAAAGGAAACTTCAAATTCTGGGGCGTCTATATTTCATACAAATTATTATTCTCCAAAAAGTGAGATTTTCTTTCCAGTGATTTTAAGTTTCTCCCGTTAAGTTTCCCATTTTCAGGCTTATATTAAGTGTCCCAGCCCCGAATCACACATCCTTTAGGGCCAAGTTTATTTCCCATTAATTAAAAAACAAATAATAACAAGAACTGTTTTTTATAAATCCACTGACTTTTTTTGGGGGGTTAACCAGCTACATATATGGCCCCTCTCATGGAATCCTCACATTCCAAGAAGTTGCGTTTTATAAATTAAGGAAACCAAACAAACCAAGTCCTCTGTTAGTACTGAAATCGAATTTACATGAAATGAAATCCAGCATACTTTCCAGTATATGTTTTGTCTCCTTGAGTTGCTAACTCTTCTGCTCTAGCAGCCTCTGGCTTCTATGCATAAATACCCATATTAGTAAAAAAGAATTATAGAGCATGCACCTTTGATAAGGATATGTATTTATGTTATAAAAATGTGCTGCTGACATAAATCGTAGGTATTTTTTAAAAGATAAAATAAGAAAGAAAAAATCATAAGCAGAAGTTCTAAGATTTTCTTTCAAACTCTCAAGGATTATCTTGCCCTAGAGACCCTGGCTCCATCCGTTGTTTCTAATTCCTTTGGCAGTTCTGTGTGCTCTGAGTACCACACCTTGTGCACTTGTTGCTGTATTCTCTTGGCGTTGTTCCTTTCCTTTGCCTTATTGGTCCTCATCTGAATTTAAAGCAGGAATGGACTTCACTGTGTAAGTGTCTTATCACCCCCGGAATACCCAGGATGGAGTCTAGTGTTGTGGACACACCCAGAATGCGAGTATAGTTACTATATTTGATTATTGAGCCAAATAAGCCATGTCTCATTTGGAAGGTGAGAGAGACTTACCTCTTGGAATGAGTCAATCAAATTTTCTGCATTTCTTTTTCCTCCAGGGCGCAATCCGTAGGACCAGTGCTGGCTGGAGCAGCTCACCACACACAATGTCAACAAAATAAGTCCAGCTAGAAGTTTTGGTATTGGCTCCATTCTAATAAACATCAATGCAACAATCAAAATAGACCCAGACCGGGTTGAGCAAAAAAGACCTCTTTGGTGGAAAGCCTAACAGTTGTGTCACTAACCCAATGGAAGATGGGGGTAGGAGTCATCTACAATTTTCACACATGGGTACATACCCACTTGCTTATCTTGAGTTTCCTAACCATTGGGGACCAACGCAGTTCTTTAAAGTAAAATATTCTATTTTTATTTTCATTATTATTTTGTTATCCAAATTCATGATTTCTCCCTTATGAAGTTCACCTTTTGTCTTAACCTTTTCCCCTTTTGTCATTGGTTTTCAATTTTGTTATTCCTAGGGTAAAGGCAATTGGGCCATCTACTCTGATAAATAGCTTCTACTGAAAATTTCTGGCTAAAAAGTATGTTTTATGACGTTAAATGGCTACACTAGGTACTAATTACATTTTGTTGACTATCTGTCCTCTAGTCTCCATGCATTGGTGCTGGCTGGACTGTCTGAGAGTGAGAAAGGACTCACTCAACACCTTTAAATGCACTGAGTCCCAGACCAGATGTCTCCCTGGCTAAGGTGGTCTCAAATGATCTAACGATATGTAGAGTTTTCTCAAAGAATCTTCAAATTAATTTTCATTTGATGGGAAGAGGCTAAAGACAAAATCAAATACTGGTCAGTGAGCTGTTGCAACTCCCCAAAGGCTAGATCTCTGTGGCCAGGGGTGACAATGGCCATAAAGGTCAATGTTTCTTTAGACACTGTCACACCTGGACTTAGCCTGTAGGGTGCAAAAGCCCCATAGACAAACAATAGCATGCAGTCTTTAGGAAGTGCTAGAAATACCAAGCATTTTACCTGTCCGAGAGCTAAGAGCCAAAGAATGCCACGCTTCCTCTGGAGTGTGTTGAATGCTGTGCCTTTTCATTTTCCTAGCTTCTTTTTTTATATGAATCTTTTCCAGGGCCCTGCAATCTTTCCCGCTGGTAAATTGTACTGCACTTGGACTATTTTTTAATAGTATGTTTTTTAATCCTCACATAAAGCCCTTTAATGGAGTGTGTAATTGGAACACCCACTGGTATATCTGTTAAATTTACTTAAATCTTGCCCATTAAAACCTCAGCTAAGACTTTCATAGCTGAGGCCACAATTCAAAGAGATTAAAATCTAGCCAGGATGGCTTTCCTTGAAGAAATTGACAGATCAAAAGTTCCAGGACAATAGCTATCTTAGATTAAGTGATGTTGAATGCACACATAAAAACTTCCACAAAGGAGGCCATGTAATAATTATAGAAAGAAGTTGACATGAAGATGCCTGGGAGCTGGTCTCAGCACTTAGATCTGTAAAGGAACTGACTTATAAATAATAATGATTGTAGGCACTACACCAAGCCCATGTAGAACCTAAAGTATATTGTATGGGTTGGAAAATCCCCCAGTCTCCTACCCAACAGGCTCCCTCCTTGACTTGAAAGCCTTCCATAGCATAAAAAATGTAAACAGAAACATTGCAATTAGAATACATTAAGCGCAAGACCATCTAGAGCAGACTTAGGTCAACAGTTCGCCTCATTCCAGTAAATGCTTACATACCCAGTTAAAATATGCAAATCACTGTACTAAAAGCAGTGGGAGCACAAAGATGAGAAATAATAGTTTCCTGCTATACGACCAACCTCACTCATTATTAATAGTCCTGCAAAATGGATACCATTATCCAAATTTTATATATAGACTAGAGGCTCAGTGCATGAAATTTGTGCACGGGAGGGGAGGGTCCCTCAGCCTGGGCTGCACCCTCTCGCAATCCGTGACCACTGGCTCCTAACCACTGGCCTGCTTGCCTGATTGCCCTTAACCACCTGCCTCCCTGCCTGATGCCCCTAACTGCTCACCTGCCTGCCTAATCGCCCCTAATGGATCTGCCTGCCTGCCTGATCGACCCTAAACCCCTCTGCCTCAGCCCCCGCACCCAGGACCCAGACTTCCCTCCCCCAGCCAGCCGCAGGCAACCAGGACCTGGGCTTCCTTCCATCTGGCCAGCTGCAGGCACCCGAGACTCCGGGTGGCTTTGCCCGGGCCCTGGCTTTGTCAGGAAGGACGTCTAGAATGATGTCCGGTGTATCTGGTCTAATTAGCATTTTACCCTTTTATTAGTATAGATGCTTCAACCCAGCAGTGAGCCCTTGGATATGTTGTTTACACAGTACAATTATTTAAAAGACAGTGAACCATTGATCTTTATTACATTTATTTCAGTACATATTGTCTTTCTCTAATTTACCAGTTGGCTCTGACTCATGATAGTCAAGGATTTCATCTTAAACATCCTATATAATAAAAGCATAATATGCAAATCTACTGGGATGGCCGAACAACCAGTCGCTATGACATGTGATGACCACCAGGGGGCAGACGCTCAACGCAGGAGCTGCCCCTAGCCCGCAGACCCCGATCACCTGATCGGGGCCTGCTGGCCAACCTCTCAGTCCCTCCCCATAGCCAGCAGGCACCAATGACCCAATGGGGAATAGGGAAGTGGGAGTGGATGGTGGTGGACGTGGGTGGCGCCAGGCCAAGGCGAGTGTGAGTGGGGCCCCAATTGCCCTGCCAGTTGCCCCCCACACAGAGGGCAACCGGGCCGGCAGACTCCAATTGCCCGATGGGGAACGGGGAACTGGGGGTGGGTGGCGGTGGACACAAGTCCCACACACAGAGGGGGACCAGTGGCAGCAGAGGAAGGAGGCAGGGCTGGCTGCTGGCAGCTGGGGAAGATTGGCCCTGATCACAGGCCAGGCCTAGGGATCCTACCCATGCATGAATTTTGTGCTCCGGGCCTCTAGTCTGTTAATAAATAAATTCGTAGTTAGCATTCAATAAATACAGGTATGAATAAATGAATGAAAGTAAGGGTCTTTAACCAGATTAAGCCTAATGCTTCCTCTATTTCTGCAACAAAGATATGTTTAATCTGACATAGAACTAAATTTTCATGTTCAATTGGCTGTAAGGACTGTTATGACATATAGTAAAATGGTTCAAAATAACTGGATATTGGTCATTATAGAGCCAGGACTGGCAGCTTCTCCTTGGGTAGAACGCTAATCAATTAGTTGTTGCCCAGTGTCCTCTGGAACAATCACATTTGCAAGGATTTCAGAGAAAAGAGCAATGGTGTCCTGCCCAAATAAACTTCTCTGCTTTGTTCATCCATCTGTGGAGGCTGTCAGATCCTCAGGACAAGTTGCAGGACAAGTTAAAGTATAGTTGCAAATGGAAATTCTAAAAATAAAACGTAAGTGATTATTTTTTTATACTCTTTGAATAATTTAAGGCCCATTCTGACATGAAGGAGTGGACTATCATCTCACCATAATAGAAAGATAACGAGAAGCTACTTTTCAACAAAAGTTCATTATGTGTGAACAGTGTCTATTGAAATTGTCCAGTTGATTTCCTGTTTGCTGAAAGAGATGTGCTTCTTCTAATAGTGTTGCAGAACAGATGTGGTCTTTGGTTAGGACTAAAGAGAAGGGAGGAAGGACTGCTGGCCCTTACTGTCAGACTGACCACTTAGCTCGGGTTAAGCATCACTGGATTTCTTATTTCTATCAGCTGGTATTACATTCTTGAATAATGCTTTGAAGTTTTTAGATGAAGATAGCCACATACTCTATGAACTCATTCAGTATGCTTTATGCACTCTAAGTCTGCATTAGTATTGTAGTAGGTCACAGATATCAAGGGCAAAGGTCAGATTTGTTTAATTTTCTATAGCATCAAATAGGGCATCACATATGCAATTAACAAGATCTTGATGTTTAGTGACAAACTCTGAACTTTTATGTAGTTCCAAGGACAGAACAATTTACCATGAAGCTAAATTTAGTAAACTGGGTTCAAATAATTGGATTTTAGAGTTACAATTTTTTTTTCTAAATTTAGAAAGTTCCTAACAAAGTATGGCTTTAGAGGGAAAATGGCTTCATTATCAGCATTAAAAGAAACACTTTTAAATTATTAATATGCAACAATGGTGATTTAGTAATCTTGTCGACTGACAGATGCAAACCTCTTTTTTTGTCCTAATGTGAAATCTCAGCAGGAAGAACTCCTGAACACCTGCTGACATATCTAAGGTTGTGAAAGGGTTTCAGAAAATTAATCCTCGAATAGGTGCTTGGTACAGAAAATAAAGTTACTGCTTTTCTTTGCAGAGGTGTACCTTTTAATTTTAAAAAGTTAAAAATAATACTTCATTGGAGATTTAATAACATTCTAGGGCTTTTCATATATTAAAGATGATTTAGTCCTGGCGGAGTGGCTCAGTTGGTTGGAGCATTGTACCTTACACCGAAAGTTGGAAGGTTCAATTCCTGGTCAGGGCACATACCTGGTTTGCAGGATGTCTGTGTCTGTCTGTCTGTCTGTCTCCCTCCCTCCCTCTCTAAAATCAACAGAAACATAATCCTCGGGTGAGGATTTTTTTTTTAAAGATGATTTAAAGTTGACGTGAGGGTAGATTTACAGTATAAATAGCCAATTCATAAATGAACTGGAGAAAATCTTCAAATCTTGGTTTGTGATGGTAACTTCATAAGGAAATAAATTTACATTATTTCCTACTAAAATTTCTTTGAAACTGTAGTTTTCCATTGATTTTTAGAGAGTGTGGAAGCTGGTGGGCTAAATTACTAGGCTAAATTACAGCATAATATAAAATAATGCTCTAAACAATTACACAGTAGAGTACTAAATTTTATACATGTAGATAATTTAGCTATAAAACATTTTTCTGTCCCTTCTTTCCAACAATAACTGTATTTTTGCCTCTGTATATGGACAGGTTTCATCACTAGGCCTAATGGAAGTTTTACTATTTTGAAACTTTCCTCCCTCCTTAAAATTCTCTCTAGTGGTCAGGCAAGAATGTTTTGGAGGGCGGGGGGCAACATATTTAAACAACCTAATAAAGCTAATTGGTAATGCTCATCAGCTAGAGTGACACAAATTAAATGAATTTTGGGAGGCAGTCTTTTCTTTTTTGAAATTTCTTCCTGTTGGTGGATTTTAAGGGGATCATAAAATAATGCTTAAACAAATAAATTTACTTTAATGGCCCTTTCTTCTTTTTTTGTTAATTCTCACTGGAGGATATTTTTCCATTGATTTGTAGAGAGCGTGGAAGCGGTGGGGAGGGGAGGGTGGGAAGAGAGAGAAACATTGATATGAGAGAGCCACATAGATTGGCCTATGCTCTAACTCAGTGGTGGTGAACCTTTTGAGCTCGGCGTGTCAGCATTTTGAAAAACCCTAACTTAACTCTGGTGCCGTGTCACATATAGAAATTTTTTGATATTTGCAACCATAGTAAAACAAAGATTTATATTTTTGATATTTATTTTATATATTTAAATACCATTTAACAAAGAAAAATCAACCAAAAAAATGAGTTCGCGTGTCACCTCTGACACGTGTGTCATAGGTTCGCCATCACTGCTCTAACCAGTCAGGGCCAATAAGTTAATGAGCTACCTGGTTGGGTAGCTCAGTTGGTTAGAGCGTCATTCCAATACCCCAAGGTTGGGGGTGCCCACTCAGGGCACATACAAGAATAAATCAGTGAATGCATAAATAAGTGGAATGAATAGATGTTTCTCTCTCTCTCAAATCAATTTTTAAAAATAAATAAAAAAAACTAGCCCATAGTAAGCGTTATGCTGTATTTCTTTTTCCACCCAGACCCTCAGGTTAGTCATCAATACATACTGAAGAAATATGAGCAAAAATTAGAAAGTGTTGCTTTTCAAAAGCCAGACAAGAAACTCCTTTTCAACATTTCACACTGTTTATTAATGCAGTATACATTAGACCCGAACTCTGCAGTTTCTAAGACTATCATATTTCATCTTTCAGATTCTTCTGCACTTTCAGGTTATGTCTACAGAGGTACCCTTAAGTAGATGAACCACATTTTCTATAATTGTTGAAAATATACTACAGAGTGAAATGGTTTAAATATAATTTAGGCACATATTGATTATGAAAATAGATATCTCTCAATACAATACTTCTCTGTCTTGGTAAAAATAATAAAGCAAAGAAAATAATTCATTTCTGAAGTTGCTTTCCTTTACCTGTAAAGGCCTGATTTCCTCCCACTATGTGTATATCCTTTACCGTAAGGAAAGCTTTGCATATGTATATATAGAAGAATAAGCTACGTAAATATTCAAGACATGTCATCCTCCCAAAGGATACAAAGTGGGTTTTAATAATTCACTGCCTCAACTGATGAGTCTGGAGAATTCGGAATCCATTTGGATACAGCACTATTCCTGCTCTTGGGGCAGATGTAAGGACACCGTTTACTGGTGAGGAAGTACAGGCCCATCTCTACTGCTGCAGAGAGATAATGACTCAAGAAAACGAGGCTAAAACTATTAAAACAAAACCAAATGAGAAAATATAAGTTAAAGAACCACAGGTGCTGACTGACTGGTATTACATTTTGGACCAGCCAAATGTTTTTAAGTTTTTTTGGTGGCTATAATCGAACAGTCAGTTTAAAATCCCTCATTCTCCACTGTATGGTTTTGGCTGCAATTCTAGCTATCTAAAAGATGACTTTGCAATACCCATTCATATTTTAGAGCATTTGATTGCAGTGGATTGAGACTTAGTATCTAGTTCTAAGCTGGCCCTGTTTAAACTATTTGGCCACTGAATTAAATATTAGTAACACACCTTGGTTTTTTGGTTTTGAAATATCTTCCTATGCTTGTTTTGACTGTATAGGAGGAAACTAGGCTGGTAGTGTAAATAAAAGATTGCCTGATCTGCATTGAGTGGAACTTGCTTAGATTGAAATTCTGAAGAGTGCTCCTTTAGAAGTTGTTCCTATAGGTTGTTACTACAGAGTTCCACTGTGACTTCAGCTGACAATGATGTACAATGATGTCTTTCTTTCAACTCTTGTCTCACCCAGTAAGAATGGAGGATTTCTTTAATTCAGCTACTATTTTGTTCTAAAAAAATAACCATTATTAAAATGAACCTTAAAAGAGAGCCTTTGGGAGTCTGATCTCACCATATTCACCCGGTGTGACAGGTAAAGGGAGGCAGTCCTAAAGCTTTTTATAACCTGAACAACCTCTTGCAATTTTCATAAAGTTTAACAATTTAAATATCCATATGCATCTAGAGACTCAATAAATAAAATTTCATAGGTTGTGCTTCTCATAAATGAAAATCCTCAAATGCATTTCAAACCAAGATGGTAATTCCACATCATGCCTATTTAAAGCAAATATGATAGATACCATTCCCGGTCATAAAGCCAGGCGAACCCCCCACTCCACTCTAAAGGCAGCAATCTAACCTAGCCTCCCTACAGCTGGTAAATGAGTGCTTCTCTGGTGAAACCAGAATGTGGGGAAAAGCCACTTTTTCCCTTATGCACCACTGAGAACAAGCATAATCCTCTAAATGGTTTTGTCTTTTTAATTTCCTTACAGTGTTATGTCTTCTAGACAACTGAGTGGAGAAATAAAAGTGATAATGAAAACATTTTCATTTTGAGCATCTTCCTCCAGCCCTAAATTCTCATCTGACACTTTGTGACATATGGAGTGGTGTCAGCATCTCTTCAAATATAGCTCCCTTAACGTTGGAACCTCTCAGGTTGGCTTCTTGAAGGTCACACCCAGACAAGTCGCAGTTCTGTAAGACAAAAACAATAACTGTGTAACTAATACAGAGATTTAAGGTTTTATCTGTTCCTTCCCGAAAATGATTCCTAGGCATGTTAGGAAAAGGTTGCTATATAATAAAACTTGGGTTATTTCTGGAAAATTGCGGTTTTAAAAGTCAGATGTTCTGATATTTCCATTTTTCCTCTCTAGTTGATGCTC